GTGTTTACTGTTTATTGTGTAGAAGTGTTTACTGTTTATTGTGTGGATGTGGAAGTGTTTTACTGTTTATGTGCTAAGCTGGTAAAATAAATCTTTCTCTTATCACTGGGCTCATTTTGTAATTATTTGGGCGTAAGTGAAGTGTTCACGTGAAACGAGAATTATTAATTTGATTCCTACCTTGTTACAGTGATTATGAATTTCTTTTTTTTATTTTCATGTGAATCAATGTGACATAAATCACCAACTTTTACTGAGAGTAGACTGACGGCTCAAGAATTCTGAGCGGAATTGTTTATTAATTTCAAGCTTAAATGAGTTTTGTGGTGCTGTATGCAGGTCTGTTGAGTCATAATTTACAATGAATGTAATTACTGCCTGCGTCTAGAGAAGTGTGATTAAAAATAAGATATGAACCATATAATTTAAATAAATGCAAGAGGCTTACATGTAGCACTTAAATGCCTGGATACACAAAAATAAACGACTTTCATTTACACATGAAAACTCACAGCAGCTTTCATCAATTCTTTGGTTATGTAAGAGCTATTTTTATCTTGAGCAGCGTTATTCTTAAGGGTAAAATCTTTTCTGTAATAGTCTGCACATGTTTAGCCCTTAGGATTATATTTTGACCAAATCCATTAAAAGCAGGAGAGGGAATCCTATGGCACAAAGTAATCCAGGAGCTGAACTCTGTGACAACCTCCACATTTTATAAAGGATAATAAATAGGAGTGATAAGTAGCATACAGCTAGCGTACTAGCATATATGTAGCTAATTTATTTACTTTTATTTTGACAGGTAATATAATTGATACAGGTAGTCTAATTTACAAGAAACCTGCGACACAGAACATCAGTTACATAAAATAATAAAGCATACAACTAACAAACTAGCATACAACATGCATACTAGCATACAACTAGCATACTAGTGTGCAACTAACATACTAGCATACATCTAGCATACTAGCGTACAGCATACTAGTGTACATACTAGCATAAAACATGCATTCTTTGTTAAAACGTGCATACTAGCGTACAGCTAACATACTAGCATACATCTAGCATACTAGTGTACAACTAACCTACTAGCATACATCTAGCATACTAGCGTACAGAATACTAGTGTACATACTAGCATAAAACATGCATACTTTGTTAAAACGTGCATACTAGCGTACAGCTAACATACTAGCATACTAGCATACAGCATACTAGCATACTAGCATACAGCATACTAGTGTACATACTAGTATAAAACATGCATACTTTGTTAAAACGTACATACTAGCGTACAGCTAACATACTAGCATACAACTAGCATACTAGTGTGCAACTAACATACTAGCATACATCTAGCATACTAGCGTACAGCATACTAGTGTACATACTAGCATAAAACATGCATACTTTGTTAAAACATGCATACTAGTGTACAACTAACATACTAGCATACAACTAACATACTAGCATACAGCTAGCATAATAGTGTACAACTAGCATACTAGCATACAGCTAGCATACTAGCGTACAACTATCATACTAGCATACATGTAGCATACTAGCATACATGTAGCATACTAGCATACATGTAGCATACTAGAGTACAACTAACATAATAGCATACATGTAGCATACTAGCGTACAATTCATATACTAGCATACAACAGTAGCATACAACTAGCATACATGCATACTAGCATTCAACTAGCATAGTAGCATACAACTAACATACTAGTATACAACTAGCATATTAGCATACAACTATCATACTAGTGTACAACTAACATACTAGCATACAACTAGCATACTAGCATACAACTAGCATACTAGCATACAACTAACATACTAGCATACAACTAGCATACAACTAGCATACAACATGCATATGATACTTACAAGCGTACAACTAGCATAATAGCATAAATGCCAACCATCCCGATTGGGACATGTCAGTCCCAGATTTTGACTCCATGTCCACGCAGAAAACCCACGCATGCACGGAGAGAACATGCAAACTCCACCCAGAAAGGCCCCGGGACCGAGAAGGCCTACTTGCCCGGACCGAGGTTTGAACCAAGGACCTGCTCGCTGAGAGGCAGCAGCTCTACCAGTTTTGCCACCGTGCTGCCAGGAGCAAACTTATGGTAATATATTGAACTAAAAAATAATCACAGTAATAAATTTTTTTTAGTTTTTTTAAATCCTAGGAATTCAGTTAAATAAAACCCACTAGTGCACTTTATGCATATCCTGATACATGCTCAATAATCCAGGTAGAACTTTTTTGGACTTTATGCATAGTTTTTAAGGTTTGAGCAAATTTTTTTCATTAAGAACCCCCCCCCGGCCCCCCCCCACCCCCAATTGCTCCACATCACTGGAGCTCACAATACCTAAAGGTGTCCCCATCTATCTACCAAAGGGTTCACAAACGTTCAAGCACTACTGTACTCAACAGAAATTACTTTCATGAAATCTGGTCGACCAGTGAGAGGCCCCCTCTAAAGGATTTTTCTGGTCTGGCCCAAAGTAAACCCCCCAACAGGCGGTGATTCCAACAAGCCTGGAAACATCAGTTATCTGTGAAAATTAATTTCCAGCCCTCATTATGCTGCTCCTTGTAGCTGTCTGAGAGATTACTGTTAATGCAGCCTTCTATCGCTGCTAATTAAACAGCCGTTTGTGACGGCGTGTCTTTTTAATTGTTTCTGATAAGAGCCTCATCAGCAGGAAGCACCGAGCGAAAACCAACGTTGTTCACGTCTGTCACACTGATTGAAATCTTCAAGTCTTTTGTGTTCTGGGTTTGTTTTTTTTTAAAGAAGATTTTTCTCCCATTTTATTTGCAGATAAGTCATAAATTCTAGACTCCCGGTGTTTGTTTCCACACAAAGTAAGAACAGGAACAATCCACAACCCTGAGTGCTTCATAAAAAACAGCATTTAAATTATTTTAATTACCTTATAATTTTTGTTTGAAGTGTGTGTGTGTGTGTGTGGGGGGTACGTATCTTCCAGATTCATAAAAAAAAAATCATTAAAATTAATGACCATTCTCTGAAGGGACCTCAGAATAAACATTTGAGAACGAGTCTCAGCTACTACCATGCCATAGGTCATGTCATTGTCTGTACAGCTGAGAGTTACAGCTATTTTTATATTTTCTAAGGTCTGGCTGTGTCAGCCATCTTGAATTGGGTTGATTCCAAAGATTCATCCAAAGAGCTTCAGCATAATCTGGCCAACCGGCTCATAAGATATTGGCAAACACACGGGCAAAAGATCACCCCTTCACCTTTGCGGTCACATAAAATAAAATGTATAGTAAGAATTTTCGTGGCTAATGAGAAATTAAAATAATCATATTTAGTAAATTAAATAATACCTGGATGTGTTTTTGTTTATTTTTAAACTTTACAGGAGCCATTCTCATTTAGTGTTTCCATCATACAACAATTTTTCCAAGTCAAAAGAAGTTGAGCCTCTTCCACTTTGAAACGAGACACTCCTAAAGTAGCTGAAATCAGCAAGAGTTGCAAATTAGTTTTAACAAACACAGTATCGATAAGTCCATAAGTTCCCGTATTTTCCGACCTATAAGTCACACATTTTTGCATAATTTGCATACCCAAACATATTTTTTTTTTCCCCATATTTATAAAACAATTTTTGGCTGAGGTATGACCGTTTTCATTCATTCTGACATTGAAAAATTGAACACTACCATTTTCAGCCGCTAGATGGCACTCGAGCTGTATGGCATGCCATCGTGTCATGTAATAGGTAAAAGTGGCTCTTAATGACACAGTCGGCTTGCCATAGACTGCCACTTTTGTCCAGCTCCGGGATCATGCTTTCATTTCATTTCACTGCACCGCCCTGGCGAAATGCAGCTAATTTGCCCATTGAAGTGCATTTATTATGTAAAAGTTCAACTGAGACACACCTTTACTATAAAGTCGAGCAAACAAATAATTGTTTTAGGTGGTTATCTTTTTAAAATTTGAAGAAATGCGCCACGTTCCTCCTTCCTGATTTCATCCCTCTGCGCGCTCCCGGAGCACCAAGGCAGCGTACACTTTTGAAAATGCAGCTGATTTGACCGTCAAACCGTCATTTATTAAGTAAAAGTTCAACTGAGACACACCTGTACTATAAAGCCGAGCAAACAAATAAGTGTTTTTATCACAGACATTTACACCTCTAGATGTAGGAAGAGGGCCACCTGCATCACGAAGGACCTCACTCACCCAGCACACACACTTTTTGGGCCGCTCCACTCAGGAAGGAGGTTGAGGAGCATTAAGTGTAGAACCATTAGACTGAGGAACAGCTTCTACCCTGAGGCTGTTGGACTCATGAATCTCTAACCAGAATAATCACTGTGAAAAATCACATCATGTTGCTGCTGATCTGTTTCATGTTGCTGCTGATCTGTTTCATGTTGCTGTGTTCATTCGTGCTCATCTGCTCACACAGACTCATGTTCGTGCTGCTGTTCGACGTAATGTTTTTATGCTATTAGCTCTTAGTGTATATTTAGTTGATGTTTTTCTTAGTTCATATCTTAGATGTTATCATTGTTTTTCTTTTAAATTTTATTGTTGGATGTAACTGGGAC